TTGAAATAAATAAGTTATTAATTGAATGATCCCTTGAGAATTTTTTTTTTGTAAACCCCAGTAATCATTGAGGAAATTCGTTCTGTGTAAGAGGGACAGGCTGTGGCTAATGGCAAAGATCATGCTAATTCTTTATTCTCTTTTGTCATAACATACAGTGTCCTCCCATTCTGGGTGGAATGACCTGCCTCATTCCTCGACAATGGGCTCAACTAAGTGATTTGTTTAAGCCAACGGGGCATCCGCAGATATGATTTACACAGGAGCTAGAAGAAGTAATCATGCCTTTCTACTTGCTCTCTTTGATTTCTTCTGTCGCCAGGACGTTTGCTTGGGCCAAGCTGATGACGAGAGAGAGACCCATAGAACAGACCTGAGTTGCCCTGATTTCCTAGCTAAGATCATTTTACATCAGACAACAGTGAGGCCAGTCAAGGTCAAAAGACCTACTTCACGAATCTCTGACTGACCTGTAGGCTCATGAGGAATAGTGAATGAGAGCTGTTTTCAGCTGCCAAGTTTTGGGATAGTTTATTACACAGCTAAGCGATACACGTATAATTCTCTGATTAAATTATTCTATTTGCTGTGATATTTATTAGTTTTTCTATTTAGTAATGACAGTAAGTATCTCAATTTTCTAATATTTTGTGTGTCACAATGAAAAAAAATTCAGTAAGGGACAAAAGATGTAGGTTCTTTCATTTCCTGATGTCATAATAGACATTTATTCATTCAACTATGTGCACAGTATTAGAAATTCCACACACCAAAAAAATGCTGATGAAATTAATCATGGTTTTGGGGAAAATAAACACATGAGCAAATCATTACCATCTGTCATTGACCAAAACATCAATGCGTGACTGCAATGGGGTGGGGTCTGGGTAGAAAGATAGCCACTGGAGAGGAGATACACATGTTACCAACAAACCAACCAAAAAAATCCCCAGAAATTTGTAAATCTACTTGACTTTAGTATCTTTATCTGTATTTCAAGGATAGAAATCGTTCAGGTATAGATTTCAGGATAGATTTCTTTGAGGATATCTTCTAGCCCTAGAATACAACATTCTTGGAGTATTGTTTAACATAACACATGTGGTGAGTTCCCACTAAATATGGCATTTTGTCATTAAAGTAGTTTTCCAGAGAAGTTGTTCTGAAGACGTTAATTCACATGCCATTCATTATGTGTGACAACAGAGGGGAATTTGATAGGATTATCCCACAGGATATTCTGGTCCCTGATTAACAGTATTGAAAGCGGAAAAAAAAAATTGTAACATAAAGACTCATCTTAAGTATGCATTGTGCTTGAATAGAGGAGCCCACAGCCTGTTAATTAAAATAAGGAAACACACTAGACACATCCATTATTTTCTTATTTTTAAGTGATGCTACTGAATTCATTCTTTTTGCTATTTTGTATTTGTGATTATAAGATGCTGTCCTCTGCTGTTTGCTAAAGATTATACCAGGTAGAATCACCAGCACACAGTGAAATAACGTGATAGTTCTGTTTCAGCACCCACATGCGTACAAGTCAGGACAGTGGAACAAACAGAATTCTTTGTGCCCACAGAACAAACCCGCCAGTGCCCCTCTTCTCCCGAGTCATCTCGTTTTAATGACATTTGTCCTGTCCTTGCTTTATGGTAATTAGATGGGCTAATTGGAAGTGTGACAACGTAATCAATTCATTACTCATTAGGTCATTATTTCTTCTAAAAGAGCTTTTATTAAAAATTTTACTTGAATGCATACCCTGTTATTGTAGACAGTACCTGACATCTTGAACAGAATAAATACATTTATGTTGTTATTTAACAACAAGTTAATTTGCATGTGTATTTGTACGACAGCTTATTTGCTGCAATTCTCTTTGAGTAAAGTCATTTGGTGACAGATGTGACAACTCCATTGCCCCACAGGGGTACAGACTCACCTCTGGAATCCAGAGTTGATGACGACAGCCTGCATGCTCATGACTGTCTTAGATGTATGCCCCCCCCCCACCTTCCCCAAACCTAGAAGTTATAGGGAAATTGGAGGGATTGGAATGGAGAGATTTGCATTCAAAACTTGTCTGTCATCTACCAAGTATGTGTGGCTTTTGCTTCACTTTCCCCATCTTCAAAATCTCTCAGGGGGCTGTTTTGAATTTTAGATAAAGTGATGTGTATGATAATTCAGCAAAAGACCCACCCATAAGGATGCCCAATAATCACCGATTGAGTCTGAAGGAAAAATAAAAGCAAAATGACTAATTCAAAGCCCTACATTGTGAATGGGCAGCTGAGGTGAGGAAAGAAATTGGAGCTGCTGAATGGAAAGATAAACAGAAAAGGGAAGCCTTTTCTTTTTCATTTTGACTAAATAGCACTGATCCTTCCCTACCGCTTTGTTTAATAGATTAATTCATTCTGAAAGCCTTTAAAGATGTCTGGTAAGTAGCTTATAATCAGCTGTGAAAAACAAATCATTGGCCTTTCTCTTGCTGTCAAAGTCCCTAGAAAGAAAAATTTTATTTCAAATGGCTTCTAGCTTACTTCAGAATTAGAGGGTAGACTCCCTTGTATCTTTCTAGAGCTTCCAGTGAGTACACTTTATGATGGCTTATTAGTTGATAAATTGTTATTGATATACTAGGGTAAGAGTGTTAATAGACAAATTAAAATTATAGTCAACTGCCCATCAATGTTTTAAATCAAGCAATACAGCATTCATTTAAGAATAGAAATGATATTACCCCTCAACAAATTCACAATTTGATGCAATTCATAACTACATGAAAGCTCTCCAAATAGATGAAGAAATTATAACAAATCAAAATCCCTGTGTAAAGAAAAGGCTTCCTCTTGCAGGTACTGGTATCTGAAATACATATTAGAGTATGTTTATAAGACCCAGATAATGTATTGGTGTAATACTTTTTAAATTTTATTTCTAGCTTTAAATGAGGAAATATGTATGTCCTATAAAGAGAACAGGGAAAGAAAAAAGAACATTTGGTGTGAACTTGGATATACCTCTAATGTTCACTTAGTAAGTTTTCCTCCTTTTTGTTGAATGCTACTTCTCGTGATAATTTGTCATATAAACTCAAATGGTAAGGATGTATTGTGCTTGAACAGAGTAACCTACAGCCTCTTTAAAAGTGTTTTTAAACCAAGTACGTATTCTGATCTCTGAAAAATAAATTGTCGAAGACATTGTTAATTTATGCAGCTTGAAACAGAGATATTTCTTTGCCTTCTCCCCCAACATATATAATCTTTTATTGTATGAAACATATTTTATTCTCTTCGTATATCAATGTTACATAGCTGAATGTCATAAAATAAGTAGCTTTAGCTTACAGAAAGGGCCTTAGGACAAGTATGTAGTGGAGAAAGAAACCAGCATAAATACATTATTAATAATATTAATAAGAAGACCCAGTGGAATCGAAATGTGCCACCAGCCTCACCCCTGCCTCCTCCTAACATGACTTGTTTGAAAAACCCACAGCCAGGAGTCAGGGATGTTGCAATTGAGTTGTCAAACTGTCCTGGATGTCTTGTACAAACTGAACAGGCCAATTTACTTCAACAGTTGCATAAGCTAAAGGCTCCTATCTTGCCTTCTGGGCTTCCCCCCTGGAGAGATTTTCGTGCCGGACAACAGGCTCCCTCCCTAGCAGCTGCAAGTCCTAGATTCCTTTTGATAAGTCTATCCTAGGTAATAACAGTACTGTGTTACCATTACTTTGTGACCAGCCTACTTGGCTAGGCAGGGGAGAAGCTCTTGCCCTGCAATAGGAAAGCAACAGCTTTGTGTGTTTGGTGAGATTTCTGAATCCTAGTGGTAATTTGATTTCATTGTCTTCATTGTAGCTCCAGCCCCTGGCTTTCAGGATGAAAACAGGCAGGCTTTTTATTGGGGGGGGGGGGGGGGGGGCAGGGAAAGACAACTTCTCCCCTACAGGCCCCGAGTTTCTTTGCTATTACTAACCCAGGAGCGTGGGGGTTGCTTTGAAACGCAGCTGTTCTGACTCTGCCCTCCAGGTGGCAGCGGTGCCCCACCGCAGAGGCTCCAATCCCCTCGTCCCCGACTTCAAGTGTTAATGCAATTGACCAATCAGTGCTAAGATGATGGGAGGTAATTGGGTAATTGTATTTTACTGATCGCAAGAAGAGAGAGAGAGGAAGGAAAGAGGGGCAGAGGAGGGAAGGGGACTGCGGTCCGAGAGAAGATTTGGGAGCTAGGACCCTAAGCGTCGGGACGCGGCAGTGGCTGAGGGAAAGCGTAGACTCAGTAGCTGCTGCCGGCACTAGGAGCATTTATTTATTTGGGGGAAAAGAACGGAGAGAGGCGCGAGAGGGAGGGAAGAGAGTTCAAGCCGAAGTGGATGGACGGGGACCGGGGTTCTGCCGCTCTGGGAGCCGAGGGTCGGGCGCTGGCACTAAGGTCGGCGCCGAGTAGCTGCGCTCCCGAGAACCGTCTCCTCGCTGTGGACTAGCCGGCGTCGGGAAGGTCTGCGCCAAAAGGAACCAACTTGTGGCTCCCAAGTGTACCCGACGCAGCTGGAAATGAGATCAAAACTGCAGTTTCAGTCCAGGAGGATAAGAAGAGCCAGCGATTAGGGATTTATTTTTCATCCCATTTCCCGTTTTCTTTCCACGTTATTTTTTAATTTGCCTAACACCCTGTTGGTCCCCGCACTTCGCCCTGCTCATTTGAAATAAAAGCCCAGTTTGAAGTTTTTTCACCGCGGCGCCCCCGGACCTGCTGCCCGCTGATGGAAGAAAAGGGAACCCGAGGGCTGGCAGGGGCCACCGGCGCGGGATCGCGTCACGCGTCTCCCCCGTGATCCCGGGCCTGCTCCGGGAGTTCTGCAACACCTGGAGGAACTGGACCGGGTGCCGGGGTGGGGGCGGGGACAGAGGAAGCGAAAGCCACCCCGAACCTTAAAGGGGGGGGAATGGGTTTCTTCTTGACAGCTGACGGAGCCTTGAAATTTTTCTCCACTACCTCCGCCCCCGCCCCCACCCCCCGCACTCCATTTAACGTGAGATTATGAAATTGCAGAGGCGGTGGAGGAAAGGAGACAGGATATAACAGGGAGTTTGGAGGGAGAGGGGAAGGTGCCTGGCCGGGTGGCTGAAATCAAAAATCCAATTGCGCACTGGATTGTGATGAGAAATCTAATCAGATCTTTGGAGAAGGGGCCGGCCAGAAGGGTGCCTAGTGGGGGGAGTTGATCCCCAAATTCTTCCAAAGGGGTTGGGGGCTAGGGAGAAGAATTGACGATGTAAAAGGACACTTTTTTTTTTGGTGGCGTGGTGGTTGGGTGCCTTGCAAAAATGAAGGATGCGGGACGCAGCTCTCTTTTGGAACAGAACGCAGTGGATTGTGCAAGAGAGCAGGAAGAACGAACCTTTTTCTTGTGAGACCTGGATCTTAACACAAACGTGTATATGTGCACACTGGGAGTATTGAAAAATGAAATAGATCAGTGTCAGGCCCTCGGGAGTTGGTGGGCTCTGACATAAATAAATAATAATAAAACAGCTGCCCCCCCTCTCCCCAAAAGGATGATTGGAAATGGAGAACCGAGAAGCCACAAGGAGAAAGTATGTTCATTTTTTTTCTATAAAGGAGAAAGTAAGCCAAGGAGATATTTTTGGAATGAAAAGTTTGGGGCTTTTTTAGGAAAGTAAAGACCCGATATGGTGGTGTTTTCGAGGAAATTAATAATACATCTGCAAAGAAATTTTGGAGAAGAAAAGTTGACCGCGGCAGAATGAGGCATTGATTGGGGGAGAGAACCCAGCAGAGCACAGTTGGATTTGTGCCTGTGTTGACTAAAATTGATGGATAATTGCAGCTGGATTTTTCATCAACCTCTTTTTTTTCCTTTTTTTTTTCCCCCTTTTTGGTGTCAAGATCATGCGTTTTTGCTTGTTCTTAACCACCTGGATTTCCATCTGGATGTTGCTGTAATCAGTCAGAAATACAGTGAGTGATCTATATTTTCTTATCTACTGGTAAAGAAAAAGGTCCATTAATTTAACATTCCTAGTCCCACTATCCCCTCACCTTCATGAGTGTGGCTTTTAAAGACATCACTCTAGGGGGCCAGAGAAATAAGAGCGAAGGTGGCCCACGCATTTGCTCTGTCAGCCTGTGCTCAGGATAAGCTGGTTTGCTTTAATGATGCAGGTTGTCTGCATCCTGGCCAAACGCCTTTGCAAAATGTTCATCGGGGAGGGAAAAAAATCTCAGGGAAGCCACTGCAGTGTGGGGTGCCTGTGTATGTGATTGACACTCTGAATGCATTTAAGTTGCATGTCAGCCCCAGAGTTGGATGCACAAATGTTTAGCCATTGGAAATCGAAAGGGCCTAATTTAAATTTCATTATCCAACCTGACACTGCAGATCAACGGAATGTATTAACCTGAAAGTATGATAATAAAGCCAGCAGATGAAGGATGGCTTCTGGCTCCTGGTGGACTGAGGGAGGGGGTGTGGGTTTAGGGGAGGAAGAGGTAGAGAGAGGTGCCTACACTTCCTCCAGTCTCTCCTGCATACACCTGCTCAAATGTGGTCTCCAGATTACCTAGATTCTTGCCAGTGCTAAGAGTGAGAGGAGGACCCACTTCTCTTCAACTCCACCTCCTTCTAAATAACCATTTCTCTGGATAACAGAGAGGCTGTACTTACATTGTAGATGACTTGGGCAGTTGGCTTGGGTTTTGCCAGAAACCTTCCGGGACAGAGCTATTGAGAGAAAGGCAGGAATGGAGTATCCCGTGTGGTAACTTAGGCAGAGGAGATAAAGAAAAGGTCTGTGTTGAACACCAGTGCTTCTGTGCTTCTCATGTGACAGCTTTGTCTTGGGGGAAAGAGGCCAATTAAGAAACATTAGAAGGGGTTGAAAATGCTTAGGGAGCCTGAGGGCCTAGAGGATCGACCCCTCTTTCCCTCTCCTTCCTGCTGGGATCATGGAGCTGGGTTCTTCCTTCTTTCTTTCTCTCTCTCTCTTTCTTTCAACAGAACTCTGTCTCTTCATCTTCTGTATTCCTTTCTGGGGCCTTGCATCAGAATCATAGACTCACATAACTTTACAGCCAGAAGACTTCTCAGAGATCTCATGCCAATAAAAAAGGAAACCCAGGCCCAGAGGAGCTGTAATTCTTTGGGCAAGGGCCAAACCTTATGAGACAGGTGACTCACACAGGCCCAGAACAAGCAGACTAAAGTCAGTTTGGGATCCAAACTGGGAAGCAATCGGCCATACATGGTGTGGCTACTTCTGTCCCTACAGGTGCCATTTTCATCCAGAAGAGTCAAGGAAAGTAACTACCCTGAGAGTTTGAAATAAACTGCCATCCTGGACTTCAAGGCTAGCCCAACTCCAGCATTCACATCCCTTTTGAGTTGTTGTGTTTTTTTGTTGTTTTGTTTTTTAATGGCAGAGCTCAGAAAACCCTAGTTTTAATATTATTAAAAAAAAAAAAAGACCCACAACTCTGGCATATCCTGAGGAGATGAAAGGCAGCACTCCCCCGGATCCCTCTTGGTGCTGGGCACATTTAATCCAGTGAGTGGTGGTCCCTAGAGAGTCGTGAAAGAATCATGGAGTCAGATTTATATTAGGGAGGTGATAATAGAAACCAGAAACACCCTGCTAAAAGCATCTGAGCCTGTTTTTTCCCTCACATCATCTATTCTTATCCTTTTCATTACTCCTTAACTAAACTAGCCTACAGCTGAACACTTCTCTGATTTATTTTTCTGGACACATGTTTCCTGTTGGGATATAGATCAGGCGGTACGTTTACCAACTCTTGAAAAGAATCGTGCAGGGCTTTCCCCTGCCTCATGAGATCTCTGTAGGCATCTGCATATCTTATCCTTGCTTGCAGTTTTTTTGTTGGGTTGGTTGGTTGGTTGGTTGTTTTGATCTCAGTGAAGTTACCACTGTGGTCATAGATGGAATCCAGTTAAGCTCCCACTCAGTAGTAACTCAGCACAACTGACGAAAGAGAAGAAAATGAAAAAAAAAACGTACCTTGACGTTTTCACTGCAAACACCGTTCAGCTGTGGGTTTCGTGGGAAGCCCAGCCTTGCAATCAGCTTGGCTCTGCCAATCAGGAGAGGTTGTTTTTCCTTTCTTTTTCCTTTCTTTATTTGGACATTAAACTGTCTTTACAGCTACTCTGATTAAACCTCAAAGTGCCTACCTCTCCTTCACTTTGTCACCCTCTCTGTACCTCCCACATTCACATACACATGCAACGTTTTCTGAATGAGAGGAGGGAAGGATTTGGGGGAGGGGAGGATGAGAGGTGGAAGGGATGAATGTCTTCAAAATTCCGGGCCAAAATGTTTCCTCCCACCCACCTCCACTTAGCCATGTTCCTCAGATCTGGAGATGATGGAGCATCCAAGGATATCATCGTTTTTCATCTGGTGAATCACTCATTTCCCCAGCACTTCATTTTGGGACACACTGCCCAGTTTAGGATTAGCTCCTCTGGCTTGGCAGACACAGTTGGCTCTGCATTTTAGGCAACTTGTTCATGGACTGCTGAAAGGATGATGGCCATGGGAGGCCTGGAAACTTGCCTCATGAGCTTATTTCAAAGGCCAAAGTTGGTGCCTACTGAGTAACAGTCATGAGTCCGTAGTTGTATACTGGGATTCTGGACCACGGGCCCAGAAACAGCTGGGTTTTGCAAGTTTTGAAGTTCCCTTTTAAATATCTTTCCCTCTCATTCATTTGACAGCTGTATCCTTTGGGCCACACCTTTCATTTCCCTGGCCCTCTGTTTTCTCATCTGTGGGATGGGAAAATTAACAACACATTAGAATTCAGCTCATTTGAATTGTTTGGTGAACTCCATGTAATGTTATGCAAAGCCCCAGGCATAATAGGCCCTCTAAAGAGGGCTGTTTGTTATGGTTCTAGGATTAATTTGGATTAACTTCCTGGGTATGAAATACAGGCTGCCAAACACTTTACCAGTTCTAGTGGCTACAACTGACCTTACAGGAGTTGCCAGATCTTCTTTTCAGATCTTAGCAGGACAGGCTGGCTGCGATGTATCATTTCAGATTGAAATGCTGCTGCAAACTAGAAACTCAAAGTCAAGATTTTCTCCTTAAAGCATAGAAAAAGAAATCTCAGCAAAGACTTAAATGAGAAGTGATGCTCTTATTGTGTTGATATTATTTTGGCCTAAGTTGCATATGACAGATCTTATATATTAAACGGATAATGTTAGCTGCCTATTACATTGTCTGGACCTGGAATACACAAAATAAGCACCGATTTCTTAGGCAATAATACAATTCAAGTTAGATGGCGTAAAATTCCATTGCTAATATTGAGACTCCAATTTCACAATTTGGATTCATGGTCTATCCGGTTATAATGAATCTTGTGTTAAACATCTTCACTTTGTGATACAATAAAGTCCTGGTAGTTTTTGGAATCAAGACTTTACATGTAGCTGTAAGTATCATGTTGTTTGCACGTGCAGATCTTCCAACACCAACTCGATGATGGTTTTCTGAGGCAGCTGGTCATGGTCTTTGCCCATAATTTCATTCTCTACAACAGCAGCTCATTTCTTCAATATGGTTCCAGAGACCTGTCCCCACTTCGAAGGGAAAAGAGTCCTACTATTGTAATTGTGTTTATTCTTAATGCCATGTCTGTAGGTTATAACTGGATGGTCAGAGTGAGGAGTTGCCCATTGGATATTTATCCTACTCCTACTTGCTTTAATTTTGGAGAAGCATCCTAAAGTTAGCCATCTTCACTGATCTTAAAGGAGACATCATCCATGGAAGAAGTTCGTATTGTATGATAAATTTCACTTTTTTTGTGTGCTTCCTAAATGTCACTGAGAAATTTGGTGAACTTGGACTCTGGCTTTGAGTACTCAGCTTTCCACTGGGTCATGTGTGTTGCATGCACCATTTAACATCTCTGAGCCTCTGTGCTTATCTGTCAGATAGAGGTTATAAACAACCACATGGATGAAATCAGATTGCATATGTCGGGCACAGCAGGCACTCAATGATGTACATTTAAATGGGGTATCTCTGGTTTTAGTTTAGGTAATGCACAGTTTGCAAAAAAATTAATATGGCCTTGTTTGAAGGATGCTATTAATCTAAAATCATGTTGGTATAGAGTAACAAAGAAAAAATGCATAGATAAGATTAAAGTTGAAGTAATGCAAATAGATGCAACCATTTTTGCCATTTTTGGTAAGGTCCTACACTTTTAAAACCTTTGGAAGTGCTTTATTGAATGTTATTCCCTCAGGAAAGATTGAAATAAACTTTGTGAACTGTGGAAAATATACTCTGTGTCCATATAAAGTTTCGTTAGATTGTCAAGTATTTTACAATACAGGTATACAAAAAATTAATGATTTGTAGATGGTACCTTGGAAAACTCTCCAAGGGGATCAAGAATCTCTTGCATCCTCCTTTAAAATGACTTTGCTAGAGAAATGTCAATTCAACAGTTGAAAGTTCGTTGGGCAGATCTCGTGGGTAAGACAGTGTGCGTGGAACACTCTCTGAGGGCAAGGATTGCACCTGTTCCCCGGCATGTCCTCAGCCCCTCAGACAAATGCCTGAGGAGTAGTGTACCGGAGATAAATATTCCTTGACTGACTAATTGAGCTCACTTTAAGAGGCATTTCCTCCAAAAGACTCAAATGCAGGTACATACCTATGCAACTTATAGAAGCCTAATGAGAAATACTAATAAGTATATGGACACTGCGTGTGTGTATGTACAAATATGACATCACACACAGATATTAAGCGCCATTGAATGGTTTCCTTACGTTGGAGAAGCTGAGGCCTGAAATTCAGGTGAGGCAGTGTATTTATTTATTTGTTATTCTGGATACAGTCAGTAATAGACTGGATCGATTTCTACAAGTCGCCTCACCTCTCTTAGGTTAGTCTTACCTTCTTCTCTGTTAA